CATGGTCAAAACCAATAATTATTCAACAGGTTGTTTATAGGCTGTCCATAGCAGTATTGAACTCTTTTTTCAGATATGTGAGCAAATCACATAACCAGCATGAAAGTCTTCTCTTGTTGGAATAGAAGGAATTTTCTTCTGAGGTGGTGAGCCTTCCAGACCAAAGCATTTAAGCAAAGGTCAGACTAAGTCACTGAACATCTTTCTTTGCCTTGCACTATAGTACAGACTGGATATGCAACTTGCTGTGCACTGCCTAGTGACATTAGTTATGATAACTTGATTCTCTAGTATCTCTGCAACACCATTTTAAATTCCTCAAATCAGGGAATTTATACCTTCCCCTTCACAGGTTCCTTATAGCTTGACTTTTATTAATGACTATTATATATTCACTTTAGCTTTAAGGTGCTCTTGTAGGTGGGTTACCACTGTATGTCACTTAATGTATATAATATTTTTCATGGAAAATATATTTCATTATCCTTGTGCTTGGACATAAAAATTAACTCAGGTAATAAAATGTGTCATTTGTTTCAATAAAATGATCTATAATGCACTCCAAAAATAAATAAATAAAATCAAATAGCTTGAGGGAGGGAGGGAACTAGGGAGGGAGAGAGAGAGAGAAAGAGAGAGAGAGAGTTTGAAACAGTTCTAAATTCATCAATGCAAGAGAAAATGTCTTAATGATGGTGGTTGCATAAGATCCTTAATAACAGACTTTGTCTTACTATCTATCTTTTAGAACCTAGTGAATTACGTGGTTATAAGCAATCCCTATGTAAGTGTATTAAATAAATGAATGATAAAATGAATGGATGACTAAATAAACACTTATTTAACCCTATGTTGAGAGGACAAAAATATTTGCTTCAGTTTTCCAGTGCCGTTTTAATGTATAGTTTGATTATTTTTTAAAGTACTTGTCTTTGCAATAGTTCTGATCTCTGTGCAAAGTACAGAACAAAATTTCTTTAATCTTTACTCGTATTCCATTCTTAGATGGTTTTAACTTTGCATTCTATGTTCTCTTTCAAAGCATTCTGTACCTTTCATATAATTTTAGGGATGTGTACCCTGATTAAGCTGAAGATGATTTGGGGGAGGTAAGACAAGTGCTGCTTTGTGGAGATTTCAGAAACTGTAATTTAGTTTCTGTCACATCGTATTTGAAGAGCTGATTTTTAAAAGCTTCAAATGAAACAAACGTTAACAATGTGTCGTTTTCAGGAACAGGTAAAAAAAAGAAAAAGTAAGCAGTGATTGCAGTTTTCCTTCTAACAAAACAGACCTTTAATTTTTCCTCTCTGTCATTCATGCACACACACACTTTTCATAGTCTCAGTGTGTCTATAAAAGTAGTGAAAGTACAAAGTTACCGTAGAGTCTCTATCACAGCTTTGACTTGCCTTTAGATTTTGCTAAAACCACAATGAAGTCATTATGAAAAATAATCAATGTGTATCAAATTTGAGCCATATTACAATCTTAATGCTACCCGCCTCCCCAAGACACCTAAATGTACCATCACATCTTCAAATCCACTAACGTGTTTCTACAAAGGTTACTACTCCCTTCAGTTAACTCACTGCACTTGGATTTCTTTAGTATTCTCAACATGCCCACTCTAGCAACCAGCATTGATGATTTAGAGAGGAGTAACACCTGTATAACCATTAATAAAAAGAAAATTTAAGGGAAATAAAAAGGGGGTAAAGTAAGGTGTTATCAGCCTGGTTTGAATGTAGATTCTTTCACAAGTTTTCCCACAAATTGTTTAACTCTATTTAGGACTAAAAATGATAGAGCAGACTCTGGGAATGTGAAGGTGAAAGCATGAGACTTACTGCACTAAGCCCGGTGGCCGTTCAGGGAGTGAACACAGTGAGACAGGCAGAGGGAAGAGGGAGAGAGTGGTCCCTAGGCAATGTGCGGCCACTGATCCCCTAATTCCTGCACGTGTGACTCTGGGGGTGTAACTCACTGCTCTACTCTCTGTCTTTAGTTTTTATATGAAAAGTACTGTGTTTCCTTGAAAATAAGACACTGTCTTATATTTATTTTTTCTCAAGAAGACACACTAGGACTTATTTTCAGGGGATGTCTTCCTCTCTGGGCCGAAATGCATGGTCTTATCGCATTTCACCCATCACTAGGTCTTATTTTCGGGGTAGGACTTATATTTAACAAATGCATAGAAATCCTGCCAGGGCTTATTTTTGGAGTAGGTCATATTTTCGGGGAAACACAGTAGTAGCAGAGAAAAAGCATGATTGTTTAAGACAGACAGACATTAGCACTCAGCATGATATTGGAAAAGGTACTTAGCTTCTGTTCTGTGGCCCACAGATTGATAACCTCCCCAGAGTTAATCATCTAAAAATAGCACAAATCTCTGGTGAGAAATAGTGTAGGTGATGCACAAAGTTCATGGTAGTAATGACGCACAGAAGAACAAATTCACAAGCACTTGCACTTGGTGAAATTCTGATTTGTACGGAGACTTCCTTTTGCTGCATACTAAACTAACTGGCATGCCGGGAATACCATTGGCCTGCACGTGTTTGCCATTTTCATTTCAAAGTAAGGCCAACATGGGGGGTGCCTGTGGCTCAGAGGAGTAGGGTTCTGGCCCCATATACTGGAGGTGGCAGGTTCAAACCCAGCCCTGGCCAAAACCAGCAATAAATAAATAAATAAATGAATAAATAAAATAAAAAATAAGGCTAACAAGTTTAACTTTTACAAAAATAGCATAATTCTGTTACAGAAAAAGTATAAGAGAACTTATTTTTTTTGAGAATTTTTATAATTCCTGATTATTCATCTAATTGAATCCTTAAACCACAAACATCAATGTATAATACAACGGGGACAAGAAAATTATAGTAATTTCTCTTTGACTACAAGCTGTGAAACAGCAAGGAAAATATATAATTTTAGGTCCTGGCATATAATAATAAATGGTAAATGAATAAAAGCAAAATGAGTAACAATTGAAATTTTATGCATAGTGATATCATAAAATCATACACGGAGGCCACCGCTTTCTTCTCTGGAACTTGTGTATTGTGCTTTGGTTCTAAACTGTGGGTCTGGAGCTGTCCTATTGTTCATTCTCTCTTACCTGTGGTAACTACCTCCAATTTCAGGGTAGCAGCAGCCTAAAAATAACACTTAACTTCTATGGTAAAGGCGTATGGGGAGATTGATAGTTGTAACAAAGAGCTGCTGCCATTAGTCCAGCTAACTCAGGTATTTAACTGCCGTAAGTTGGGTTTATCCTTGCTTATCTTGGCTTTCATTAGTTGATCTGCCTCCTATCCCGGGCTTGTTGTCTCCTTTCTTTTTTCTGTAGAAAAAGATAAATGTGTTTTTCCACTATATCTTGGGTCTGTTCACCTGTTTTGAAGTAAAAGGAAACCTGCCATCCCTACCAGCAGTTGCACACTTTGGGCTCTGCTACTCTGACGCCCTGAATAGGGAAGGAGGAGCAAGGCTAAATTAGAACAACAGAACTGGGTTAGGATACATCCCCTGACACTTAAACTAGCTGGGTTAGGATACATCCCCTGACACTTAAACTAGCTGTATGATTTGAAGTAAGTTGATATTTCCAAGCCTCAGTGTCATAGTCATAAATCAGAGTAATTACATTTCCCTCCCCCTTATTTTGTGAGGAGTGGATAAGATAGTGTATTTTACTTAAATCACAAACAAAATTCTGGGCCTGAAATAGAAGCTTAACCAGAGCGTTTCCTTTCTGCCGCTTTGTGTCATAAGATCTACAGTTTTCTGAAGCTCTAGATACATTGTCTTCCCTTCTGTGCTTTGTTATTCTTAATGATTATTATTATTTTAGGGACAGAGTCTCACTTTATCACCCTCAGTAGAGTGCTCTGGCTGTGGCGTCACAGCTCACAGCCACCTCCAACTCCTGGGCTTATGCGATTCTCTTGCCTCAGCCTCCCGCGTAGCTGGGACTACAGGCGCCCACCACAACACCCAGCTATTTTTTTGTTGCAGTTTGGCTGGGGCTGGGTTTGAACCTGCCACCCTTGGTATATGGGGCCTGCGCCCTACCCACTGTGCCATATGGGCCGCCCTATTCTTAATTATTTTGAAGGTTTTTCTTCCTTCTATTTTACAGATACAAGAAGTCTTCATCATTTTTCCCTATTTTTTAACAGAATACTAGTTCTTTGCTTTTTTCCCCTTTTCACTTAATCACTTCTAACTAGCATTACAGGTTTTTTCTCCTACACTTTCCTGCTGATTTTTATCTCTATTCCAAGAAAACATTTGGCAGTTTTGCAGTACAGACAACATGAGATTCAGAGTGTTGTCAGATGGCAGAATAGCAAACCTGGACTCTTCCTCATGGACACAAACAGCAACAAAACACACATGAATTGTCTTTGTGAGAAATCCAAAAACTGGTTAATAAGAAGTTCTTCCAGGAATTAATATATATGTTCATTTTAGACTTAAGTATCCATAATGTAATTTTATCATTATACTATTTATCTAAGATTCACTGATTAATTGAACACTTACTTTGCTCCGAGTACAGTCTTATGCCCTATGGGTACAACAGTGTACGATTCCTCTCTCTATTATGTTTTATAATGTAAATAAAGTGGGGTGACACTGTAAAATATTATTAAGAATGAATAGACGTCCTTCTGATGTTTGGAGGAAATCAAACCCTATGACCTGCAGCTGCATCTGATTCAACCTCAGGCACCACCATGTGTCTCTGCAAGAAGTTATTCTTAGGAGAGAGAAACAGGTTAACATAGAGCAATTATCATAAGTTATTATTGTCATTAGCTACTAAAGTGAAAGTTTATGCTAGGCCTCATAAAAATGTGGAATACTTTAAATATTCTCCCTCTTCCTGTATATAGTGACACTATGACAAGTATTTGCAAAAAAAATTATTAATTTGTGATTCTGTATTTTCTTTCAGTGGAAAATTTTTAAGCTGTACTCACTCAAATTGTAAAACTCTTGAGTTTTTATATTCATTCTTCAGATTGCTTGATTGAAAGATGTCATCTATCTAAAAACCATGATTAAAAGATTGAATTAAATTTAGTTTTAACATTTATTCAAAAACCTATACAAAAGAATATTTATGTTCTGCTTAGAACTGGGACAATTTTTCTGTGGTAATGGGCTCACACTTTTAAGTACCTAAGGCATACTGTATTTATTTACTAATCTTTCATAGTGAGGAAATAGGACCTTTGTATCTTTTGACAAGAAGTGAGGGAAATTATGTTATGAAATTTTAAAGTAGTTGAAGACAGATAGTTTCCTACCATTTGCTGAAGGTCAAAGGCAAGAACTTTGAAATCCACTGAACGTTCATCTTGCAAATTAGGATTATATGTAGCTCCAGATGTTATTTTAAATGTTCCTCTGGCTTCATGACTTTGTCCAAATGCTGCATCTAGAGAAATGAATGAGAAACAAAACACTAAATATATGAATTATGAATAGGAGAGAATAGGAATGTTTTGTTAAGGCACAGAAGTAAAGTCTTGCTTGAGGTGGTGGCCCTCTACGTGTAGTTTTCAGTCTTTGCATTTCAAAATCAGCTCTTTCTTGTTTTTATTTTTCAGCTGCCTGGTGGAAGTTTTAAAAGGTTAAAAACATTTTTCCATTCTATTTTTTTCTTTTCTTTGAGTTCTAACCCATCCTCGAAGCATTCAAGTTTTATTATTATTAAGATTCCTGTTGGATGATACATGGACGGATCAATTTCCACCAATTACGAGAACCGATTCAGGGAAACACGGTGAGAAGCAAACCATTAAAAGTTTTGTAGTGGCTTTCAGAGGCTTCTTGAACACCTAGAGTCCAGGGACACCACTGGGTTTTGACATGTGGATTGCTATGAAGATTTCAGTGTTTCTGTTACTTTGGAACATAGCTTTAAAGCTATTTCTTTCAATGTAATAATTATAAAAATGGCATGCATGACCTTTTGCCATTAGATGGTAACTAACTTTATCGGGCACGTTATTGAGAATGTTGTAGAAATTATCTCAATAGGAAAAATGTAAAAGCAATGGCTAAAAAATTGAATATAAACATGGGTAATAACATGTGCCCTTAAGTCCTGCATAACCCCTTTCTGAGAATATTTTCTTTGATACCTATTTATGATAAATTGTTTTTCTTGAATTCATGCCATGGTGAAGTCATTAGGAAATATAATAAGGATGATACATAATTCTCACAATGACTTGGTGTGAGAAGATGTTATATAGAAATACACCCAAGATAAGGGAATAAGGGCGTAGAGTAACTAAGAAAATTTCTCAAGGTAGTATGGATTTTAAATGACAGATCTGGAGTCTGGACATAAAAATGATTGCTTCAATAGCCAGGATCTATCAGCCTTTCCAGTCCAGAGGAACATTAGAAATGGTATTGCAAACAGTAAACTTACATGTAAAGTTTATCACTGAAAAACTGATGTCACATTATTTTCATATAGTTTAATTTCTTATATTCAAAATTGCATTGAGATTTGCATATTTAATGTGGATGACAAGAAAAGATTAAAGAACTATCAGTGACTGTAGGAGACTAAGGAAACATAATAACTAAATCCTACATAGGAATCTGCATTGGATCCTAAGCCAATAAAAGGCATTAGTGGAAAAACTGGAGACATTTGTATAAAGTGCATGGTTTCGTTAACAATATTATGTATATGTTAATTTCTTGGCCATGAAAATTATCCTATATGTACAAATATTAACATTAGGGCAAGATAGCCTGTGTGAGAAGCTTATATATATATTTTTATAAGTCTAAAATTATATCCAAAATAGTTAAAATAAAACCCTATAGTAAAAATGATATGTTTTAAGTCCTCTGGTATTTACTATAGCTTTAACTCGAAAAGCTTTTTACATTTAGGTGTTCACTATTCAATCATATTAACATTTATAAATATTTATTTTCTATTGTAGAATAACTTACCTTTATATTTTTATTGAACATCAACAATTACAGTGGATTTCCAAATGTGTATACCCCTTGAAATTATTCCCAATATTTACATAAGACCAAAACAGCTACTTTTATAAAAGCCTAATTGAATCTGTATAATTTTTTAGTAGTTTATATAATTACTTAAAATATCCATAAGTGTTCTTTTTTGGTATATGAGTGTAGCATTTAAATAGGCCACAGATTATACTAAAGTTATTTTATAAAACTATAAGTCATGTTTATTATATTCTATTTTAAACTTATTTATTAAATAGAGAAAAATAGCTAAATCAAAAGTTGAGAATTATTTGGTAAAACTAAAGTCACTCATCTGTAAAGGGTCTTATCCCATAAATTTTCAGAAATAATTTATATACCCATTTATAATTCATAATTTACCATTTAAAACATGTAATAGTTGTCTGAAAAAAATGAATTCTTACTATCCAGGTTATCCTCAATTTTTAATATTTTATGCACTCTATAAATGAATACGTGGTAAATAAGACCAAAGTGTCCAGTTTAGCATACTATTTCTGCTAGCTAGTAGTGATGCAAACTTAAGTAGTTACCTAATTTCTCTGTCTCAAATTCCTCACCTGTAAAATGTGGGTCCCATAACCACATATAGGCTTGTTGCAGCAAGGTAATACATTTGAAAGTGTTTTCAAAAAACTTGGTACAGACCAATTTAGCTTTCAGTAAGAGCTATCAGTTTTTATTTTTTTTCTATTTATCAAAACTTGCCTCTCAGCTTGGGATCCTTATAAATCTATATTTATATCCAAGTTCTTTTATAATTCTGTAATTAAAATCATCAGCCTAATAAGAGAATGAACATCTTATTCTACAGAAATATTTTTTATTAACTTTTCCATTAACTTTGAATATTTGTCTAGTAGAGTCAACAATGTTTTAATGTGCTTATTTAAATTATGCCAAAATGAACCCATGGGCTATGAAACCTACTTGGTTATATGTTAAAAATGAGAAATTTATGTAACATCATTTATTGAAAAAAATGAAACTGGGTCTTATGCTTGAATTCTAGATTAAGTTTCAGATTGCATACCAATTAATTTTTCTCATATTCTATGATGTCAACTGGAAGGAAGAATGTGAATGAACATAAATATCTTGCCATGAATCCACAGCAATGAATGAAATATCCTGACAGGGTAACTGAGATTAGAGCACACACATTCGTCTGAGAGACTCTTCTGGACCGAACCCATGTGACTTACCTCTTTCTGCTTCCTTGATTGCCAGCCAGGATATTGCCGTTAATCCAGCACAGACCACCACTAATATGGCAAAGAGAACTCCCACCACGATTTCATAGGCACTGAAAGAATGATTCCTTGAAGATACACTTCTCCTTGACCCCATTTTTCGTTTTGGAAGGTTAACTTATTTAAGCACTGTAAAAGAATATAAATACCCTTCACCAACTGAAAAGCCAGATCTCTCTCAAAGTTTTAAAGATTTGTACAGCAACAACCTGTCTGCCCTGGGGCCAGGCAGCGTACACTGGTCGCTCTCTTCCTTTAGGCAACATGGTGTGTGTCTCTCTACCTTCAGTATCATTAAAAGGGCAGTTAATCTTTAAGAAATTATGACGAGTAAAATGCATAGAGTTGTAAATGTTAATCGCCTCAATAGGCCATTTGCCAAGAAGAGTGAAACTAAACTCATGTGATAAACAAAAATGACCCTCCATCATTTTGAGGACTATTAGGAAAAATGTGAAATTTATGACAAATTAGTCATCAGGCAAACGCACTTGATATTCTGACAGGGAGGGCTTAACAGATCAACCTTCCACCCTCTGACACAGACCGTCCCGGAGGCATTTCCCTTGCCGTGTGGGGGTACAGACATTCCAAAGGTGACTTTTCTTCACAGATGCCCGTCAAGCCTCCATGCATACCCTCTCGTGTGCGTGTTCTCTCTCCTTCCTTCTCTTTCATGAAACAATCTAAAGCTTCTTAAACTTGACGTCACCCATGTGAAGTTGCGCAATGTCAGGCGCGGTGATATCTTGAAGAAAAGTCCACTTAAACGAGGTGTCACCTGACTACGTTTTTATGGCCCTGTGCAGTTATCAGTAAACGGGAGTAGGTGCCATAGGAGGAATGAAACATTTTAAGGAAATATTCAGGGTGGGGAAGACATTGCCCACTTGCCCTGGACTTTATGTCTTTACATGTTCCAATTATAACAAGAGAACTGATTAAGATAGCCAGCCACGCTTACGTTTACAGACCTATGCTTTATTGGAAATTCAAAGCTGTTTTCTGATAAATAAAGTACAATGTATCATTGGAATTCCCATGCCTTGAATAAGGAGTCCAAGGTTTTAAATAGCCTAAGCCCAGGAGTTGGAGGTTGCTGTGAGCTGTGATGCTACGGCACTCCACCCAGGGCAATAAAGTGAGACTCTGTCTCTAAAAAAAAAAAAAAAAGAAGTAAATTAAAATAAAAAACAAGTAAAACCTAACTGATTCTGAAGCAAAGTAATTTTACTTTGGTTAGAAGTAAGGAAAGTTTAGATGAGAAACCTTCCACACGCTGAAATCTCGGCATACTCTAAACAAGCCAAGCCGAGCAATGGCCTCTTTGCTTCTTTACTCTTAAACAAAGAGAATTGCAGGCTGTACTCAAATTCTTAGTGATAGGGGAGATGGAATATAAATAAATAAATGTATGCCATGGAAAATATTTTTTTATTTAATTGAATTCATACGTATCGTTAAATACTCTAAAACATGCTTGGGATGAGAGATATGACTAATAGAATTGACAGAAGTTAAATTTATGTATATTCTAGGGGACAATTCTAATCATGGGCCAGATTCTCTACTAAAATTGGAACCCAGAAATGATGCCCCCTGACTTTAGAAAGCCAAGACGGTGAAAGCACAATTACTGTTTTTTTATTTTCTGTAACTGATCCAGAAACAAACACTTTTAAGCAAATCAAGTAGAGCTCTGTTCCCTTTGTTTTGATTTTACAGAAGGAAAGAAGATGGGTGAGTGAGTCCACGTGCTCTGCTTCAAACCCAGGGTGATAATAGAGACAGCCTGGGATGGAAACCCGAAATGATTTATGTAGTTTCACTAACAAAATCAACATTCAGATTATAGGTTTTCTTCAAATAATATGTCTTTCATAATTAGATTTACTATCATTAAATAAACAAGCAGAAAACATATTTCTTTTTTTTTTTAAAGGCAATAATTTGTGAAGGACAAATAATGCAAACAGGTCAATGTGTAAAAGAATAAATAATATAACTTGGAATTTTAGAAAAGTGATTAAAATAAAACAAGACTTGCCCTATGAAGTGGCAAAACTCACTACAAGGTTGTAATAATATAGAGAAGGCAGTATGAGTCCCAGAATAGAAACAAATGTCAGTGGCATAGGATGGAGTGCCCACAGGCAACGTGATTCACACATGGAAACTTCATACATCAAACACAGAGTGTTATTCAAATAGGTTAGGAATGGATGCTATTTGGTCCCTAGGGCTCCGCTGATTTGTTATTCATCTTCAGATAATTAAAATTGGATCCTTATCTTATACCATGAAGAAACCTAAATTCCAAATGGAATAAACACACATAAATAGTACAGAAATATTTTAGAAGAAAATATTGAAGGATATCTTTTTGATAATTAGATATTAGAGAAGATTTTAAAAAGGGATTCAAAAATAAAACAAAAACTGGGAAGAAAAATGTTAATAAATTTAGTCAATAATAACACCGAACTTTTACTTTTTTAATAATGAAATGATATAAAAATTGTCTTAGTAAACATGTAAGCCACAGACTGGAAAGGCATTTTGTTTTTTAATTTTTTCCCCTCTCATATGTTTTAGTTTGTCCACAATGGAACAGAACTGAAGAAAATATTTTATTGTGAGATGCTTAACATTTATTTGGGATAAATCCAAGGAAATACCAGGAAAGATATTGGGAAGTGAAAAGGAGGGGTTATTCAGGGATGAAGACTGTGTGTGATGCAGCCAGTTACCATTATCGGTGTAAGGAATGGAGCCTGTTGGCCTGGAGAGCGGGTGCCAGTGTTATCCCAGTTAGGAGGTGAGGAGGCAGCAAGTAGCGATGCTCACTGGCTCACAGTCGCTTCCTAGGCTGTAAGCCTCTGTCTGGCACTTTGAGCTTGCTCTGTGTGCGTAAAACATTTGCAGGAATTTGACGTCAGCATGCCAGGATGAATGAGAGGACTTGTGGTTGTATGATCCTTACAAGTGGAGAACAATATCCAGAATTTATAGAGAATTTCTACGAACAAACAAAGAGAAGACAAGTAGCAGGTGACTAACAAAAATATGAAACCAAACAAAAAACAAAATAAAACATGAACACACAACTGTCTGCAGGTACTCAATTGCAGTGGTAATTAGGGAATTCTAAGTCATATAATAAAATATTATTACCTTAAATTAAAATTAAAAACCTTAACATCTCTAAGCAGCATTTGTGCTTGTGAGAGTGAAGATTCAGATAATCACATTGAATAGCAATTTGGTAATACCTAGCAAAACTAACCAGTCACATACAACTTAATCCCCAAAGTCTCCTTCTGGTCACATGTCCCAGAGAACCTAACACAGGCAGACGGTATTTATTATAAAAGTATTCTGAGCCCCACAAAATCTAGGGAGAATCTAAGTATTCATTGATGGGAAAATTTGGAAAGTGAATTATAGTATTTTTATGCAATAAAATATTATATACAAATTAAAAAGCACATGCACTAGAGCTGCAGTTGTGTGTACCAACTGGGAAATAATAAAAAAAATTTTTCAAGCAAAGAAACTAGTTTAGAAGTATATATGCAAGTTTATACTATTGAAAATCAAAAAGAAAATTATGTGTTTAGTGATGCACTTCTGTATAATAACAATATACATAGAGATGAGAACATTTATTCAGTGTGATGGTTACTTCTAAGCAGAAAATAACATGCATAGTATAGGGGCAAAATTCCAGGGAGAATTTGCATTGCAGTCATTCTGTTAAAATTATGAAATAAATTAGAGAGTTGTGCTAGCTTCGACAGAGCTAATTAGAACATGTTAGTTAATTCATATTCTGCTGTATATATAAATATATATATAAATGAGAGGGGAGGGATATGATTGAAGTCCCAGTGGTCCTAATAAAATTTTCATCTTCATTAGATAATCACTAAAATTGTAAGAAAATTTACGCAAAGAAATTTCTATTTTGAGAACTGCAGAGTTAGTCAAGCCAGTGAATGTCTAAATGAAATAAAGAATTTAACCACATAAAAGTTAAAATGAGTGAGTACAATGTATTTAGGTTGGTGAATGAATACACATCTCTGGAAAAGTAAACTTCCCACTCAATGAAGATTTCAGTGAGTAAATAAAATTTTTGCATAGCATTTCAGTGATGGGGATGATATATTTTGCTTCGGTGAATAGTGAAGTAGAAGACAGATGACGATGGTGGGTAATGAAATAGGAAAAGCCAAGACTGAAGTTTGTGAGACTCCTGAATGGTGGTTACGATCATTTCTGCTGAGAGTGAAGGAACAGGTAAGGAGAGCTAAGAAAATTTAGTGCCTGATAATCCCTTGATAATGGTACAGAAGCAGAAGGGCCAGAGGGTTAAAGACCGTGGTGCACAGCATAATCTGTTCATTTGCTCAACAAATATGTGGTTTTATATGCTGAATGTACAAAGTGGCACTTGTAATCACAGAGAGTCTCAAAGATTAAGGCCATGAACATTTGTACAAAATTTCTTTCACTGTTCAACACAAGGTCAGGAAACCCAAACAGACTGCACCTTTAAATACTTACCATTGACTGGGCTGTTATCAGATACATGGTTTGAATGATCACATTTAAAAAAAAAAACAAGTCTAAAATAAGAAAATCTATATTCTTTATCAGAAATGCTTTTGGAGTTCTAAGATCATATTTCCCTCTGCAAATGTGTCCAAATGTCCCAGTGCAATAAATCAGTTAACACTTCTGTGATTGACTTTCAATGTTGAGAAAGCCTTATGAAACACACATTTGCTTGTCTCAGAGGCTTATATATTTCTTTGCTTTGACTTTCTATATAATTTTAATACATTACTCTAAGTTCTAATTGGTAAACCTCTTTATATTTCAGGTTTTGTAAGAGGGCAGCAATTTTCTTTTCTTTTCTTTTTTTTTTTTTGAAAGTCTTACTATGTCACCCTCAGTAGAGTGCTGTGGTGTCACAGCTCACAGCAACCTCAAACTCTTGGGTTTAAGCAATTCTCTTGCCTCAGCCTCCCAAGTGGCTGGGACTCTAGGCATCTGCCACAACGCCCAGCTATTTTTTTGTTGCAGTTGTTTATCTGGCCCAGCTCAGGTTTGAACCCGCCACCCTGA